TCAAACACAGCAAGTAGAGACATTAGAGGTGTGAATGAGAATGAATTCAAATGCTTCAAAATAACACAGCTTTGGGAAAAAAAAAATGATTTGGAGCACTTTAATGGGAGGAAGGGAATGTGAATGTGGATGTGCTGGAGCAGTGGAATTCTCCTGAGCTGGGGCAGCAAACACGAGGCTCTGCCAGCAAAAGGGCACCAGGGCTCAGCTAAATGAGCCAAAACCCAAAATTTTGGGCCACAGAAATGAAGTTTTCACATCTCCAGCCGTTCTGAGGGCTCTGTTATCTGTTCTGCAGTTTGTGGCAGCAGTAAAAAATGAACATAAACATCATTTGACTTGAAAACACGAAGAGCAACGTGGAGGAATTGAGGATTCCTTTCACAAGCACAGAGTAATAAAGGATGGCATGGAGGGGGGATTTGTGCACTGCATCTTTTGAGATAAGCACTGCTCAGGGTGTAGACTGCTCCTTGATAAAAATCAGCTGACCACAGAGTAGCCAAATTTGCAAGATGTAGAAATAATTACAGAAAATCACTTTTTTTTTGTGTGTCTACACATTGTTAGTCAGCTCCATAAAACAGAATTATTAATATTAAATAATATTAAAGCACTCTAACGTTTAGAATTTGCTCCCACCTCAGTGCTTGTTTCTCTCAGCCTCCTCTGAGCCATCTCAGCCACGAGATCTGTCTCACACCCTTTGAAGCCTCTGCAAAAAAATCGCTTTTTGTTTCATCCCAAGGAGTTGCTGGGGCTGCCACAACTCGGTGTTGTGCTCATATTTGATTTATGGGATGGGAAATATTTCAGGAGACACAAGAAGCAACTTGTTGGTTGAAATTCATCTCGTTGTGGGTTTGAGGCAGCGGTGATTTGTGTTATTTGGAGGGACATCACTTGGGTTCCTCTCCAAACAAGCTGGCAGCAGTGATTATTCAACACAGCAGTGAAAATAGATATTTGCTGACACAGAACTAGATATGTTCATTAGAAAAGTCATCTAACAGAACTTCTGCTGATATTTTTTCAGTCTGAGGGTTGGAGATTGAATATTTTAATTAAGGGCAGCGTCAGTCGTTGCTTCACTAACAGCAAGATCAAGATTTTGGGAGAGGGTTAAAGAAACATAAAAATTTGGTAGATTTGAGTGAAAATCAAATTTTAAGTCTCCTGGACAATCATCAGGATCTGCCAGAAGGGCTGTGGAATTGCAAAAGGGAGAAATGGAAATCTGAAATGAAACAGATTCTGCCCCAGCGCTCTCTGAGCTCCCACATTTACTCATTTACACATCTGTCCTCTCCTCGTTTGTCACTCAATTTTATTGCATTTATTGCAAATGTAAGGAAGAAAAATCAGATGTGTTCTGGTTTATGGGTCAGAAATTTCCCTCAGAGCTCAGAAGAACCTTCAGCATGACCCCAAACGCTGCATGATGATGATTTTAGCCACGGTTCAGTGAGCAAGACTGAATTTCAGACATTTTGTGGGGATCTTTTGTTAATAAACAGATCCCAACTGCGACAACATGAGACTCACAGCACTCATTAAAATGACAACTTCAAAGAGCAGAGTTTAACTGGAAATGGATTGGACCTTGGAGGTGGCCAAAAACTGGGCAGGAGCCTCAGCAAACAGTGAAATCCTTCCCTGGGCCAGGCTGGGATTGGGGATGGGGAGGGCTGGGAGCTCATTGGGATGTGCAGTCCCTGTGATCTGACACAATCACACTAAAGAATTTAAATAAATTTAAAATTACTTTCAAAATTATTAAATTAAAAATATTACATTATAAATATTATATTATAAATATTATATTATTATATTGCTATATAATTATATAATATTATAATATAATGCATTGTATATAATTTACATATAATTTTATATATATATTTATATATCATTTATATGTAATTTGTATATAATCTATAAATAATTTACTATATATTACAACATATTTTGTAATAATTTAATTAATTAATAATTTAATTATTTATTAATATTTATTGTTATTAGAATTATGTTAATATTATTAATATAAATATTTACTAATTTAAAGAAAAATTTTATATATGATATATAATATTTAAAATATATTCTAATAGAACTAATTTATAATATATAAAAAAAAGGAAAGATTTTCAAACTGCCCAAGGGGGAAGCCCCTCAATTCAAATCATTAAATACCTTAAAAGTCCAAAAATTCCACTTTAATTTCATTTTTGACAGCACTGCTCCCAGCTGAGGGGGCCACACCCTTTTCAAAGCACCTGCAGGAATTTGGGATAACACTGGGATTGCACTGGGAAACAGCTCATGAGAAAAGATTATTAATAAATAAAATTTAGGTGATTCCAAATTCGAAAGGTAACTCAGCAAATCACATTCCTCACTGTTAATTACCACAAAACACTGATTCAGGAGAAATCTAGAGATAAATATTATGATTATAAGCACTTTTTAAGATTCATAGCGCAGCAAATCTCTGCATTTTGTGTACCTCATTAAAAATAAAAAATATTTTGGTGAGACTCAGCTATTTATTTCAAGGGCTCTCCTTACATTTCTGAAATGTTTTATAAATATGCTAAAAAATAAATTTAAAAAAAACTAAAAAGAGAAGAGAACAATGGCTTGGTTTCTGCATGAACACAGAACCTAAAGAGTCACAAGGACATTGAGGAACAGTTGTAAAAATGAATATTTTTCAATATATAGAGGAATACAATATGTTATATATATATAAAATTATGTTATATATGTTGTATTATTAAAATATAAAATAGACTATAATTAATATAACATAATATAACATAACACTATATATATTATATATATATATAAAACAGCAGGGATTAAGAGAATAATGCAATAAAAATCTGCCTCTGATTAAATGTTTCATATATATTAAAAATTCATACTTAAAAGTATATTTTTTTATCAAATTGGAAGATCTGTTACCTAATCTTCCAAACATCAAGAGTAGACAAAGATAAAAGAAGAGATTTAAATCAATTTTAGTATTATTTAGGTTTAGTGTTCAGTCAGATAAAATATAAAATCAAAATATTTGGGGTCAGTAAAGGGAATGAGGGACTAAAAGCAGTTTAAATAAAGGCCTGGAAAAATCAGAACCAGTGTCTAAAAAATGGAATCTGCAGAACTGAAAATTTAGGGAGGTAAATGAGCAAAATAAGGGAAATGAGGGAAAAAAAAATTTAGGGAGGTAAATGAGCAAAATAAGGGAAATGAGGGAAAAAAATCCAGGAAAAAGATTGTAAAAAAGACAGAGGGAAAATGTGGTTTCCAGGATTTATGCAAATACAGATATTGGTGAAGCCAGCAACTTTAAAGCTGGAGGAAGAAACAAGGTGGGACAAATCCTGGAAGGTGGAAATTTACCTCTTAAAACAAGGTGGGACAAATCCTGGAAGGTGGAAATTTACCTCTTAAAATCCAGTTGGTTTTGTGGCCTTATGTGATAATGAAACTTAATCCATTAAAAATCGACAGTGGAAACCTTTTAAAGTATTCCTGGAAGGATTTCACCCTTCATTTCCAAATATTTCCAATGAGAAGCCGGATTAATTTTTAATCACAGCTTAATGCAATTTCACATTCCAACAGCAGTTTTTCCTCTCTTTCTGCTGAGCAGCTCCTGGTGAAATCCCCCAAAAATGCAAACCCAGCCTGAACCTGGTTTTCCTGGTACTGGGAATATTTTCTTTGTGGTCTGGCTCGGAGTGATTGGAATTGTTTCTGTGGCCCTGGCAGAGCGAAGTGTGGCTAATTAGTTATTGGTGCTCACACTAAATGATCTTGGGGAGGTGATAATTGCATCCAGGGTGTGTTAACTTCCAGACAGGCTCTGAAAACAGCCTGGAGGAGAGATGGATTCCATAGGAAATATTCCATTTGAACGTTTCCCAGAGCTGATCCCTGCTTTGGGCCTTGCTGGGGTGCACCCTGCTTAAAAATCTCATTCCATTTACAAAGCTCCTCCATGCTCTGATTTCTTGGTGTCCTTAATGAAGCTAATTGTATTTCTACATATTAAAATGCTTTCACGTATCTGAATAGAAGTATCTGCTCCAGAATCATTTCTCACTGCTCACAATGAGATCCTCAGTGGGCTCTGAAGGAGGAAACAAAGCAGTGAGATCATCCCTGGGAGATTGGAAGGGAAAGGAAGGGATGAAGGGATGGAGGATTTTCCCTTGCACTGCCCAATCTTTGGCCAAGTCAATCCTGGCACTCAGGAGAGAGCCCCAAGGACAGAGCTCACCCAGGGCTGCTTCACCCTGCCCAATTTACCCCCAGACTCCACCTCTGTGTGCTCAGAGAAATCAGATCAGCACAAATCCAGCAGGATCAGCTCTGCAAAAACAGGAATTTACATACAAAGTGTTAGAGCTGCTGCCACAAACATCTGGAGCTTCAGCCCTCTGCTGCCTCGCTTCCCAGGCAGAGCTGAAAGGATTAAATCCAACTTTCAGACAAGGATCAAAGTTGAACTTTAGTCTTCTCAGCCAGGAAGGGCAATCCCAAGGTGCTGCTCAGCTCCTGCAGGGTTATTTCGGAGTGGGCACAGCAGCGAGAAACCTCCCTGCACTTGGAAACATATTATATATGTTTATTATAACATAACAAATACTATATGTTTATTAGAACATGAACAAATATTTATTATTAATAATAATATAAATTTAAAACATAAAATAAATAACAACATATCATTTATATATTATTATTTGATATTATATTAATATATTACTTATAATTTTATTAAATGTTATTTGAAACAGCCGGCACAGCTTGGGAAAATGCCTGAAAGAAACACACGTTTTCCTAAAAATCAGGAATGAAGCAGGCACCAAGGATGTCACAGCTGAAGGAACATTTGGATAAAGCTCTCAGGCACAGGGTGGGGATGTTGGGGTGTTTGTGCAAGGCTCCATGAGCTTTGTGGGTCCCTCCAGCTCGGGATATTCCCGAATTCCCCAGGTTGAAAATGGTACTGTCCCCCTGAATTGAGGTGTAGGAGATGATAAATGCACAGCTCCATGCACATCCCACAGCGAGCCAGGATATATATTTATTTAATCCTTATCTCCTGGAGTGACTTTTAATGACATTTTGAAGTGCTAAGGCACTTGGAGGCTCGGATCGTTTCTTGGTCCCGGTGTTTCCCTGCAAGATATTCGACATCCCCTCTCTGCCAGGGCTCACAAAGCAAACACTGATGAGGCAAATGTTTGATGTAATTCTGTTTCAATTAGTTTGTTCTTGGCACCTTTACACGTTTATCTGCATCCAAACCTTCACTCTGCAGCAATTATTTACTTCATCTTCTAATTAGTAAGTGCTGAGCCTTGAGGAACTGGTGCAGTCTCTGCTACGGGAGAGCTGGGAATGTTCACCTGGAGAAGAGAAGGTTCCAAGGAGACTTTAGAGCCCCTTCCAGTGCCTAAAAGGGCTCCAAGAGAGCTGGAGAGGGACATTGGAAAAGGGCCTGGAATGTGTTTTCAGCTTCCCTACCAAGGCAAAGGCTTGAGAGAGCCCAAAATTCTTCATCCCCTCAGGTTCAATAACAAAAAAGAGAGCTGGTGTTCCAGTGAAAAAATCTCAGCCACAGTAAGTATTTCTGCTTCAAAAATAAAACCTTAAATGACTTCCCAGAGCATTTTTCCCACAGAAAATGTTTGTCATAGCCCACCTCCCTGAGAAACAAACAAATCCTCCCAAACCAACACTGGAAACATCCAAGCTCCAGCCCCCATCTCCTCTCCACTCCTGACAAGCAGCACAGCCCCCAGCCAGGGATGGGATCACTCCAATTTTTGCCCATCACTTTCTTCTCTAAAGAGTTTCAAGTTTTGAGAAAATAGAGGCACTTTCAAAGGGACAAAGTGCTCGTCCTGCTGTGGGGTGAAGCTTTCTCTCCACCCTTGGTGGCTTTGGTGTTTTGCTTAGGAAGGAGCCAAAGGAAACAAAAGTGAATTAAATGAATGAAACACCTTGTTTCAGCAGGAGAAACTCCACATGGACCTCTTTACTACTCTATTCTTCATGATCTGATTTTATTCTTGAAAGAGCTGATAAATTCCCAGCTAACTGAATATCCCATCTGCCCATAAAGTCAGCTTTCAACACCAAAGGAAACGCAGTCTGTGTCCTGAGTGCTGCAGCCTAAACACAGAACCTGGAAAGGTGTGTGGGGAAGCCAATTATTTTCCTCTTGCAAGCTGATTTATATTATAATTCAAAATGCAAACACAATAATTCCAGCACTCTTTCTTCCAGAGGAAATACAGATAACAAGATAACGCAGGGAGGATTCATTTCCTACAAGCTGCCTTTGTGTTGTTTATTGAGCTAAATAAACATGAGGGATGTGTGATAATCACAAAGCATCTTCCTGTGGCAAGATAACCGATAGTGCTGGGGGGTTTGCTTTAGTTTTAAAACAGGGATTAGAGAAAAATAAGAAAAACAGGACAAAACCCAACGTGGAATTGTTCCTTAATTTGGCAGCACAGAAGTTTCCCCAGCAGTTTTGCAGGGCAGGCTGTGCCCAGGTGCCTCTCAGCAGAGATTAAATCAGTGTTTCTCAATTTGGGCTTGCTCAGAGCTGTGGCTGATAATTTACCTTTAATTGTTATTCCTGCCACCCTCTGCCTATCAACTGTTAATGTGTTTCCACAATTAATTAGCCATTAGTGAAGTCCCTACTGCAACCAGCCTGTGTCCCCAGGGATTTCCAACTGGAAATTCACCATTTCAAGTGGGATTTGCTGAGCTCTGCAGGCTCCAAACCTGTGGAACCAGAGGGCTGCAGAAGGCCAGATGTGAAGACAACCCTCAGACATTCCTGTGAGAAAATCCCAGTAAAACCAGTGCTGCTGGATCCCCTTGGATCCCGAGCATCCAGACTTTGTTTCCTTCCACCTCCCGCTCCCTTGGGGTGGAGACAGAAGGGTTTGGGGCTGGAGGTTGCTCTGAGCTCAGTGATGATTTTCTTGTCTTTCTCAATGCTCCAAGATGCAAATTCTCAACTCAGCCCAGGAATAAAGCAGGGATTTTCCATCCTGGGCATGGAGCTGTCACCCTGCCCCTGGGATTGTTCCCTGTCAGCAGAGGTCTCTAATACATGACCAGATTATGTCCCTGTTTCCTGTGGGAGCAACCAGCAATTTGCAATGAAAATAGCTTCCAGTTTGCTAAAACATTCCCTGTCTCCATTTAAAGTCACCTTCTGCCTCAGTTGGAATCCTCTGATTCCAAAAGACGTTGGAAAATTAAGGATATTGTCCTGTGAGTTTATATGACCTCAGCAAGGAAACACTCCTATTAAAAAAAATCCCTGGAGAGGCAAATAATCCAAACATTCCTGCAATCCTCAAAAAAACCTCAATGTTTCCCAACTCTGAAGTGCTGGAGATCTTCAGTGTTTTGCAGGAAAAGCAGCAAATATTTGCAGGCCAAGGATCTTCCTGCAAACCCAAAATAAATAAATTGGGATTGATAATCTCAATTTGGGAACAGAGCTGCCACCACCAACCTCCTGTGGCAACCTGAGGCACCACACTGGAATAATGATGGAACTCCTTGGAGAGGATTCCCAAGAGTCTGGTGTTCCAAATTGGAATTTGGAGCTTGGAGGAAATAAATGCCTGGCTCTGTGTGGAAATCTGGACACGCTCAGAGATGAATCCCCCAAAGCTGAGATACCCTTCAGGCACCCAAACCCTGAGTGGGGAATTTCCACCCTCTCAGATGGTTCATTGGTGCTTTGGCAGCAAATTCCAGGGGTCAATAGAACACCCTGGTGCCCATTAGATGGAAAACTCTTCTTAGCAGACCAGGCACAAACACAAATCAACACCAGATTTTTATTTTCTTTTTTCTGGTCTTGAGCATGTCTGTAACACATCTGGAGAAAAGCACAATTCCATCCTCCAATGTGTCACAAAATTAAGATATTTCCCCTAACGTGGAAAATGTCATTTCTGAGGAGAGAGGATAAAACAGGAATACAGGAGGAATTACAAGCAGGGGTTTTTGGTACCTCTTTCCCTGTCAGCCTGGCAGGGAAATGAGCTCTGTAAAGTTGATGCTGAAGAGAAAGGTCACTGTGCAGGGTACACACGAGGCTACTCCTGGAACATAATCATCAAGCAAAAATTCTGAGCAGCTCCAACAGCAACTGGCATCTCACAGCTGCTTTGCAGTAACATTTTTCTCCATTTTCACTACATTTCCTGGAGAAGGGCTTATAAATACTACAGCAGGACTGAGAAATAATTATCCATTCTTTCCACGAGTGTCCATAAATATTCTGCTGCTCTGTTTGGGACTGAAGCATGGCCTGACCTATAGCAGAGCTCAGGAGAGACTGGGAGAGGAGATGTTTATTATTTTCCTGCTGACTCCCAGCTGTGGGATCAATGCAAGAAGAAAAACCTTCCTGGCTGGCCCTTGCCCTCCTCATGCACGGACAGGAGCAGACATTTCCAGCATTTCCACATCTATCAGCACCCTCAGAGATCTGACACGAGCCCTCAAGCAGAGTTTTCTCCCTCATGGTGTATTCTTTGGGCACTGCAAAGGTTTGGTTTGCACAGCAGCTCACGCCTCAGGTTGAGCCTTCTCCACCTGAGCTCCCAAAACCAGCAGAGATGACAGAGGAGACAAAGCCCTTGCAGAGGGAACACTTGGAAAGGAAAAAATCAGATTTTTTTTCTGTATTGAATGTTATTGTCAATGTGTGAGCCGCTGCATGACACGAAAACAAACAGAATTTAACATCTCGCTTTTAATTGCTCATCAACCTTTTAAAATACACTCAAGGCTCATTTTTAACACAGTTGCATGCAGCTGGTTTAGCTTTAAAAAACTCCTTTTCAGCATTTCTGGATGACCTAAAATTTCCAAGAATGCCAGGAACTCCAAATACCTTTTCCAGAAGGTGGCAGCTGCCCTGACCCTCTGCAGCACCTGGATTTTGGTGTTTTTCTGGAACATTCTCCTCTGCTGTGCTGATTTACTCCCTCAATTGAGTAGGAAACTTTAAAGCTGACATTTCTAATTGTTTCAGCTCTGTTTACTCTGAGGTGTTGAACACCAGCAGTGTTTTCTGACCAGGCCCTTTGGAGCTCTCTCACAGAGGAGAGTTTGCTGTGCTACAGTGAAAATAAACAAACCCCAGAACTCCTGTTAGAAACTGAGGTGCTCAGAATTAACCTTTTGTTCAAGAAGAACCAGAACTGACTTAATTGGAGCCAGCTCCTCGCTGATGGAAGGGGAAGAGGGCGATTTTTGTTCCTTGGGGAATGAGCAGCTCTGAGGAGCACAAAGCCAACCTTGGCAGAGCCACCAGCTCGTAGTGAGAGGCACAAGGGATTTGTTTAACCCAGAGGCTCTGGAAACAATCAGATTCCAGCTGGGCCAGGAGACTGAGGGACCAGGAAGGTGTGGGAATCACTGCATGGATTTTCAGGCATTCTCAGCAAGGCCTGGTGTAAAACAAAGCCGTGTTTATGTTCTGTAGCAAAGGGTGAGCAGCAAACACTGCTCAGTCAGGGCTGGAAATCATCCAGCATCATTCCTGCCTCCCTGGCCACCTCCAGCTCTGGACTTATCCTGAAATTTACCTGCTTGAAGTTCTCATTCTCATCCTGGAAATTTCAATAAGTCTTTTTTTATCCCCAATAGAAGGGTTTGGGTTGGAAGAGATCTTAAAGCCCACCCAGTGCCACCCTGCCATGGTAGGGACTCCAGTCCCAGGCTGCTCCAAGCCCCGTCCAACCCCACCTTGGGCACTGCCAGGGAAATATTTTTGCTCTAAATGAGATTCTTTTAATTTTCTCTGCCCACGCCAGGAGCAACAGCAGCAGCACAACCTGTACAGCTGAGCTGCACTATCCAAATAACACCCAAATATTTGCCTGCCCATTTTTGTCTCAAGTCTGAAGAAAACTTCCATTTTTATTGCATCCGTGCTCTCTCACTGAAACACAACTTTACCAAACATTCCTTGTTGAGACACTTAACTTCAGCTCCTCTTTTTTTCAGGTCACTTTTTCAGGCCATTTCCCTTTGTAGTAAGATCTCCCAGCCAAACCTCCCTATTGATTGATGGAGGGGAGACTTCTCTCCAAGTCAATAATAGCCCAGAGCAGGAATCAGCAGCTCTTTGCTGTTATTTATCCATAAAGAGCTTTATTGAGCTAAACTGGTGTTCAGTTTAGCCTCTCACAGTTTATCATTTTATTTTTCTACCAATTGTCCTTCTTAACTCTGTTGGAATCTGCTGCCAGCTAAATCAGGCCAGAGAAAGCTTAACAAGTGAATGACAACCATAATTCAGTGTTTACTGCTTCAAACCCTGATCTTGCCATTCTAGCAGCAAAATTCCTGAGATATTTAGAAATTAGTTTTTCTTGCAAGAAGCAATATATGCAAGGAATAATGAAAGGAGTGGATTAAAGGGAGCAGGGAATTTATGATGTGCCCAGCAGAAATCTATCAGCTGTGATTGGGGTACAAATATCATTTCATACCATGCTGCACAGTTTCTCCCCAACTTCATCAATTGCCTCCCAAGACAATGTAATATTGAAAGAAATAAACAGAGCTAAATCACTGAAGAGATGATTATTTGTTCATTACTTAAGACTGTGTGTTTCAATTGGCAAAAATAAGACTAAAAGCAAATATTCACTGCTTTGGCTCACTAATTAACTCTGCATCTAAGCTGGCATTTTGTTATTGCTCTACCTCAGAATCCTAGAATTAGAGGTATAAAAAAATAACTGGACTTGGAGGGTCCTGCTTTTATCAGTTCCTTGTAAAATTGTTGGTTTCTGGGATATTTCTCCCTTTTTCCAGTCTTGGAAGTGATTCACAAGCTAAAAATTCCCCCTTTTATTCTTTTCCTAAGATTACACTGTGCTTTCACTTAATATTAATATATGTAATAACATTTAGATAGAATTATGAAGGTTATTGTGATGAATAATCATGATCCACAACTAAAAACCTCCAAAATGCTGTGAAACTGTATTTAGGTGTTTAGGAGCCAAAGTGCTCAGACAGGTTCCCACATTTCCATGCCAAGAGTGAGCCCAATAACTTTTGTAGAAAACCCCAAACCTTCCCCAAAAGATGCATTTTCCACCCTTAAAATGTTGCCCCTCAATTTTACCGCACATTTCAAAGACTTCAAACACCTTGCCAGTGTAGCAAACACTTCCAAACCTGTGCCCAGAACAACTCTCTGCTCTTAAAAGCCGCCAGGGATTTAAAAATTTTGGTGTGTCTCAATCTCAAACCCTTCCTGGGGCAGAGGTAACACTAGGAATTTTTAAAAAGGGTGTAAAAAAAACTTTTTTAAATTACTGGTGCAACCCCTGCCCTCAGGAGAGTTTTTGCTGCTGTCAGTCCGTGTTTGGTGATCCTGGCAGTTTAAATCCAGCGTGATTTCTCCTCTGCATTGTGACTTTCAGTAACAAATCCTGATCTTATCATTATCACCATGAATATCATATAATTCCATTTTTTATCCTTCTGAGCCCTTGGTTTTAGGGTTCTCTGGCGGTGCAAAGCTCCCAGGTGTTAATTGCACATGGTGAGGGATCACTCTTGCAGCTCATCCCATGTTACCTTCCCATGAAATTCCATGTTCCCATCCCAAGGCATCAGCAGGAGCAGCTGATAAAGGTTCCCTGCACCATTAATTGCTCTGTAGGATCTGCTACTCCTTCTCTTGATTGTCCAAGCTGCTCTCTTCCCAGACATTCCTCTCCCCTGGGAGCAGGGAGAGGCTTCCAGAGAAGCTGCCCCGTCCCTGAAAATATTCAGGGGAAAGCTGGACAAGTCTTGGGGATTACCCCTGCACAAAGGCATTCCTATTTATTTATTTAAAACCTTAACTCCTGCTTTAAAATATCCAAACAGTGGGATTGGGGCTGTCTATTCCCAACAAAAACGTGTCCAAGACACAGGGAACGAGCAATGCCAGGCCGGTTGCAAAGTCTATATTTCATTTTCTGCTCTCCGTCGAGTCTCGGTGGTTCCTGCAGTGAATAATTGGCTGCACCTTGTAAAACACGAAGTGAAACATGTACAGAGAGTCTGTTCTGTCCACCCAGATGTGTCTGTGGAATAATAAAGACCTAAAGATTGCAGCTGGCCTTGGCAGACTCCAAAATCCAGGCTTGTAAAGACACGGGGATCATCTTCATGGATTCATCCGGGTAGGAAAATATAATTAAAGGATGGAGACACCAAGACCTGTCTGTGATGACAGCCTCAGACCTGGGTTCCACTCTCAATTTAACAAGCCAATTAAGGCAAATTAACAGAGTTATAGCCTGCTTCAGTGTCCTGAAGGGGAAAATCCCAAAGGGATAAACACAACTCACAAGCTAAAAATTCCATTTTTTTTTTTTCCCTAAGATTACACTCTGCTTTCATTTATTCTTGATTTTAATATATGTAAAAATGTTTAGCTAGACTTGTGAAGGTTATTGTGATGAATAATCATGATCCACAACTAAAAAACTCCAAAATGGGAACTGGTACTCCAAGGGAACTTGCACTGCCCAAGAGATGGTTCAGGCACTGGGAGCTGCTGGCCTGGAAGGAAAGAGCTGACCCTTCCTGATTTCACACAGCAGGGTTTTCTTCCCAAAACACAGGAGTCAGAAATTACATCCCAAAGCCCCAGGGAAGGTGGGATGTTTTTCCCCCCAGTTCTCTCACTGCAGCAACTCGTGGTGTGCATGGTTTCAGCTCCACCGAGCCCCAGCCCTCCAGCACATCCAGGGAAAAGCATTTTTAAATGGGAAATAAACTCAGCTAGGCACCAAAATCATCCTTGGTAGCATCACACTTGTTTTATCAGAACACTTCAGCACAGAAACTCCCTGATGCAGAATGTTTTGCTAAATATGAGGATTATACATTTGTGTAATAATTGATTTTTTTAATAGGGTTTTTAGAAGCTCTGCTTTCCAATCCCCTTACTCTTCAGTGGTGGATGCACTCACCTTATATCCGGGTTTTATGGGTTTTGGTGCTCCAACAGCTTCATGATCAATATTTAAATTCAAGTTACATGGAACAATGAGCTACTAATGCTCATGAAATTCATACATTTGATCTGTTGGTATAAGGCCTGCAGTAACCATTGATCAAAACACACATTGCCTTTAAAACACAGGAAATAGTGGGTGGGGAAATAAAAAAAAAACCTTCCTAAATGAAGCATTTAAATAATTAAACCTTCCAAGATTTCAGTTTGAAGCGTCCATCACCAGCCACTTTGGAATGAAGAGCAGAGACTGGGAAAGGCAGTGCCCAGCAAAGGGGGAATTCCTGCTCCTTGTTTGGATTCCAGGGCTGGCAGCTCATTCCCTGCACTCCCAGGAATTCTTGGGAGTTCCTTCTCTCCTGGTTCCTGCCCCCTCACACAGAGCAACTCGAAGTTTTGAGGAGAATTAATTTAACCCAGCACTGCTCTGCTGAAGGCCACAGATCCCTAACAAACAAGGTGGTAAGAGGCAGAGTTTTGTTTAGTCAATATTTTTCTTTAACAGTTCAAAGCAAAGAAAAACCCAACATTTTGGATTAGTTGGTGAAATCGTGTGGTTTTAAAATTGTCTTTCACCAAAAAGAGCAGAAAAAAAGATAAAGTTACATTAATGCCTCCTGAGGAAGGTAAATAAATTAATGAAGCATCTGGTTGGCTTAAGTGAAGTTATCCAAGGGATGTCTGTCCCACAGACGTGGTTTTTTGGCTACAGCACACAAACAGGTCTGACCAATTTAGGAAAATATTTGGTTATCAATAACACAAACCAGCCCACTTGAATAATCATGATTTTATCCTCAGAACAAGGCACTTCCCAAACAAGCACTGGGATAAACAACATCCTTGGGATTGCTTAGAGTGCTCCAGCTTCTGAATTCTGAATTCCCTGCTTTTGGGGCTTTATCCTGCCCAGCTCTCCCCATCCCCAGCAGCTTTTAGAGCCTCTTTCCAAGGAGGAGTGATTTGAGTGAGATAATTGGAGCATCCTTCTGCTGCTCCTGCAGCCAGAGTCAAGAGGAGGAGAGAAAAGGATGAACCCAGAGCCTTGAGAGCTGTGCAAGCTCAAAGCAGCAGCATTTTGGGGCCTTGGCAAGAAAGAAATGAGCATTTTACTGCTGGAGAAAATTCTTCAGGAGCAAATTACTCATCACCTGGGCCTGCCTCATTCTGGGAGCTTGTTATGCTCCTGTTTACTTAGAGGCAAAAGTTACACCCTGAAATTATTTAAGACTCTGAGAATTAAATATTGGCAGGCCTGACAAGAGAAGAGGATGGATTAAATACGTCAACAAAAAAAAATAGAAAAAAAAAGAGGGTGGATTAGATTTTTCAAAGCCTGAAAAAAAACACTTGGAAGACAGTTTATGTGTTAAATCAGATTTCTAACATCAGTTCTCCAACAGACATGCATCATAAAAGCAAGAGTTTTAAGAAGTCAAAGATTTGCAACAGCTAAAGAAAAAAAACCCAGCCAAACAACAAAACCCCCAACTTCAGTGAGTTGTTTATACCCCCTTTAGAATAAAGGAAAAAGAAGTAAATTTTTCTTATATTCTCTAATGAGTGGAAGCCATACAGAACCTAAGAGCATCCTTGGGACAAGTCTTACCTCTTGGATAGTGGACAGAAAATTTCTTGCCCTGGTTCCAGCAGTTGGATGGGCTGAAGAAGAGAAGATAAACAGATTCCTCACAGGAATCACTTTCTGGGACAAGGAAACCTCCAGCCCTGCTGCTCTTCCTGCTTTTATAAACCCCAGCAGCTGTTTCCCCTGAGTGATTTCCCTCCTCCAACCATTTCCAGCTGCTCAGGGATGGAGCCCCTGGATTTACTTTCTTAAAATTGTTTAGATTGGATGTTAGAAAAATGATTGATAATGATGAATGAGCTGAAATGGAAGTAATTAGGTTGGATGTGAGGAAGGAATTCCTCCCTGTGAGGGTGGGGAGGGGCTGGGATGGAATTAAAGGTAAATTAATAAAAACATGAGAACTAAAGCCAGTGTGATGTGCATTTTTTAATGGTACCTTGGCCTTGGTCCCCTTTCCCAAATTTCAGGATCCCAAATCTCAAGGTAACTTTATTCTATTTATATTTATATTGTCTCAGCTCCTGATGATCTCAGAGAGTCTTTCCAATCTTAATAGTTCCATAATTCTCTAATATAAATATATATTCCTGCGGAGTGTGAGCAACATTCTGGTTTTTCACATCAAAAAAACTTCAGGGAAATATTAGTGAGTGTTGAGCACCAACTTTAGCAGCTGAACCTTTGTGAGTGTGATGTCAGTGTGACATTAAAATGCTCCCAAACCCTGCGTAGGGAAGTGTTTCATGAGTAACTGCTAATATTGCACAGCCACAGCTGTCAAGATGAAACAGGACAAAAATGGCAGGAAAATCGTGTTCTCATCTTTAAAGAGATTAAAATACCCAGCCTGAGGAAAAGCAGGTTAACCAGTGCAAAAAGCACTTGGCAGTGGCCAGCCTGGTTCATTCTGAGATTTGCCTGAATGACTTCCGGACTCGTGTTCAGTGTGAGGGGATTTCAGCACGTTCAACAAATCAAAAAATGCCTTTCCACGCCATGAACTTCCAAGGTGACAAGTTTGAAAGGAGCTGGAATGCCATCACCCCTTGCTGATAAAGCAAGAGAAAAACATGTGTTTTTAAGGGCTTGGGATTCATCCTGGATAAATCAGGAGCAGAGAAGGGAGCAGTGGCAGGAAAGCAAATCCTGGGTGTCTGTGGCGACTCCTCCATGCTCTGAATACCTCAATGAACCTGGAGCGTCACATTCCCTTCCTTGGAGCTCTCTGACCACTTTATAAATCTGATTTTCCGCAAATATTTGGGAGCGTGGTAGTTGATGGCGGGACAGAAGTGGAATGCTGATGACTTTTGGCTGCAAATGCAGCAGATGAAAACTCACTCGATCCAAGGCGAAGTGTCGCCTTTAATAAAGTAATGTCATGCCATGCCTCCCCCGTCGCTGGCCTGTGGTGACATGAAAAATTATAATGGGGGAAATGCAGAACTTTGCAGATATAAATAACTGGAGACTCTGAGAGAAAATTTCCAAGCGGGGAGGTGGAAGAGCGTAAACATTTATTAAGGAGCTGCAGGGAAGGAGATTATTGCCACCTATTGACAACAGCACTAAAATAATCCAGCCTGTTTGCTCCTGGTGAGTAGGAATTCCTCCCTGGGAGCTTTGCAGCAGGCTGTTCCTACCGGATTTGTGTGGTAGAGGATAGAGGGACTGGGAATAGCAGAGGATTTGAGGGATAGGACCCCATCTGAGGGGAATTTTTAAATAATCCAAGCCTTTAGAGAGGTGATTTAACAGTAATTGAACACTTGGCAAACCAGGCCAGAGCGTGTGGTGCTGCTGGATCCAGAGGGGTGGAGCAGGGACAGAGGAGGGGGAATGTGGTAGATCCAAGGAGTGGCTGCCATCCCACAGGAGCAGTGGTGTTTCTTCCATGGGATTTGTCCCTGGGGCTGCTGGATGGATCCCACTGCCGTCTGTGGCTCCTGCTTGGGGCAGCGCTCAGCTGGAGACGGCTCAGACACTGGAATGTCCTTAAAACCTGGATTGGAGAATGAACACAACTGCAAATCAAATCAAAAATAATCAGCATTCAGCCACACAAGGTGTAAAATCTGGGTAATCCTTTACCAGGAGTGCCAGTCCTGTCGTTAGGATGATTTCAGCCCAGCTCCTCAGAACAGTCTCCCTGTCATGATCTCCCTTCCTGCCCATGTCCTTTTAGCATTTCAGATCTGAAACCACTGATGCCTTGGAATTCAGTTTTTCTCTTTTCCATACATTTGTGAGCCTGCAGTTCTTTCCAGAACTCCAAACTCCACACCCAGCGTCAGCTGCTGCTTTCCCATTCTGGGCAGACACAACAATTCCTCCCCAGGCCTGGCAATCAAGGACACCTCAGTGCCCCAGGCCCCAGCAATGGCAACAAAAGGGAGCTGGGGCAGCAAACTTGGGCTAAATGCCTTCATCAGCTGCAGCTGGAATTGCAGGATTGACCCCAATGTGCAAATGGACCAAACTTATCAAAGTGTGAAACCCGTGAGCCGTGGGACATTTTGGGTGCAGCCCCTGGGGGGCTTCACCTGCCCTAAATGTGCCTGGAGGGCCCTCAATAAATAGAAATAGAACTGATTTTTACTCCCTTAACTTTGTCTGACCTCTGTTTTAGGTAACCCCGGAAAAAGGCATCAAAACCCTCTCCCTCTCTGCCTGTCAGGACTCAGTTTATTATTAGGTATATCCAGTGTGATTCACTCCTGACAGCCCACTGATTTCTGATCTAATTTGGGTCAGACAGTGCAGATGGAGAAAAGTTCCCTGCCCCTTCTAATCCAGTCCCCAAATTCATTTGCTATTCAGTGGAAATCCAAGCCCAGAAATTTTTATCTTTCACTTGTCTCTCAAGAATTCCCTCTCTGAACCATATGCACTTAACTCTGTCAGACAGATTGGTGAAGACAAAAGCTCCAAGAGGTTGGAACACTTTCCTGCCATACAGCAATATCTGCACAGCCTTTGCTGTGGGTATTAAAAAATATTCATTATTATTTAGGTCTCCTTTAGGAGTCCCATTTCTGGAACAGGTTAAAATGAATGTTGTTTGAATGATCTGTGTCGTGGGACACATTTTTGTTGAATGCTGACTAAATGCTAACTAGAATTTCAGAGTTTGGTCTGGGGTGTGATTAGAGAATCTTGGAATTGTTAAGGTGGGAAAAAAACTCCAAGATCATCAAGTCCAACCTTTGACCAAACGTGACCCTGCCCACTAGGCCACATCAGAAAGTGCCACATCCACTCATTCCATGACTGCAGATATCTGATGAAGGGAGGTAAAAAAGGCTAGACACGGTAAAATCTAAATTTTTACAGCTAGATATTTAGGAGAAGTCATTTTAAACTAAGAACTCGGCAAGGTTTGAGTCTGAACCCACTCACTTCCCAAATTACTCTTTGCATCTCCAACTTTGTGTGCTAAATTTGAAAGGAAGAGCTCTCAAAAGAAGGGATTTCCTTGAAGAGCGATGCAGATGGCAGCAATGAGAGCAAAACAAAGCAGACAAACAAATCAAAGTTACACACAGGGAATGGGATCTGCGCTCGTGTGCAATCCTACAACTTCTTAATTGGCCTCCAAGATTTGCCTGAAAATTTCTGGTCAACAGAAAAATCAAAGGGAATGGCGAAATAATTGCAGCGCCCGTGTGGAGGCGCAGCCTAATTAATTGACTTTGCTGGTGGCTATAAAATGCTCCAAAACTTCCCCAAGCAGGATTTCAGAGCTGCTAATAAGTGATGGCAGGTGCTGAAGGTGACATTGACAACCATTTGTCTGCAGCCAGCAAAGAAATACGGCCACACACGCTGGCATTATTGGATATTAGAGGTACTGCCTTCCAAATGTCATATTTTAAATGTCATTGGGTTTTCAGAGAGGGGGGAAAAAATAAAATTTTAATGCTATTTTAGTCGTGTACCTCTCGTTGAGCCTTAAAATAATGTCAATTTTTACGAACACTTTTAATAGTATGCAAAAGTAATTATCTGCAGTCTCTGAGGTTCAGTATCCTTTAATAATGAACTGAGTCATTCCATATCCCAAATTTATAAATGGCTATTTGCAGACTGGAGGGGAGCACAGGCATCAGAGCAATGCAGGAATAATCAAACACCACAAAATTCTGTGAAGAGCAGCAGATCCAGATTAATTTATCCATAAGTTATTAGTAGCATTTACCACTCCTGAAGCCAAATTTGAGCAAAACATCCATTCTGGGACCCAAACATCCATTCTGGGTCCAGTAACATTTAATAGTGGGTTTGGTGGAGTTTAAGCAACCACATAACCCTGATTTCACAGCCAGGTTTAATTTCGCTGTGTCAAAACCTGTTAGGTTAAGACATTAGCGATGGTTTGGTCTTTACTGTAAATATTTAAGATTGGCCTTGTTCATCTCTGTAGGTGGCACAGAGGGTGGTGATTCAACGTGGGTGATTCAAACCTTCCTGAACGACTCTCCAGGGCTCACTCCTGATCATTTCATACCCAGCAATTTCAAACAACACCCAGACAGTTATTTTCTGCTCCACATCTAAAGAATAACTATCGATTCCTGCAAAGCACAAGAAGTGAAATCGAATCTCAGGCTGGAAAGGCTGTAAAAATTAATACTTTCTCTTCAAAAGTGAGAGGGGTCTAATCAGAATCCCTTCATCACACATTTTGCTGATCCTGTTGGTTGTGATTCCCGCAAAAGGTGATGATCTGAGGGTCTGAGCATCCTCTGAAACAGCAGCAGCTCCAAGGCAACTTTTAGGAGGGGAAGGAGGAGTTTTGTCCAGTTCCTCATCCCCATCCTGTGCTCCAGGACACTCCTTGGATCATCCCTGTTTGAGCCTCACCTCCAATCATGGCTTTGTGTCCTCCCTTTCGTAATTTGCTGCGGGTTCCCTCCTTAGCAAAGCCCTGCTCACAAAACCATCCCCCTGCTGCTGTGCTTTTCCAGGGCTGCTCTGACTCCCAGGTGCTCCAGGCTGAGATTCCAGCCAGGAGCTGAGAGCAGGAGCAGCACAGAACTCAGCTGTGCAGCCCAAACACAGCCATGGGAAGCTGGCTCGGGGAACAATTAGGGAACAGAATGAATGGAAATGGCTTTTGAAGAAAGACA